TGTAGACCGCCCCTGTGGGAACAAAAAATGTCTAATAAACCATACCCCTACGCGCGACCTTTCACGAAATACAGACATAATATATTTGCACAGAAGAGTAGCCAAATGATAACATTTTTTGTTGAGATGGAATACGATAAGCAATTAAATATTTGCATTGCTGAACTAGCTGCCGTATACCATACGGTAATGCTGCCTAATGCATCAAACATAGTTATAGTAGTTTTGATTGTGGAATGAAACTATACACTAAACTATTCAAAGATTCATCGCTTTCCAAACAAATCCACTGTAGAAGAACAAAAACATAATGGAAAACATTTTGGATCCAAAAGTATTTGAATTCGTTTTGAATGATATTAAGCAAGATGAGAGAAATTTTCGATATTTTTCAATTTTAACAGATGTTTCGAATAGGGGCAACAACAAGCTTTTTCCTTTGATTGTCACTTATTTTATTCCAGAGCATGGTATAAAACATAAAGTTTTAGATTTTTACACTGACGATTACGAGTCGTCCGAAACGAAATCTAACAAAATAACAGAGTGTCTAAAAGAGAATGGCTTTCCAATCGAATATGTTACATCTTATTCAGCCGACAATGCCTCAGTTAATTATGGAAAGAACAATTCTGTTTTTCAAAAATTATGTAAGTTAAATGCGTATAAAAGGCGAATTGTTTATATCATGTTATTCACAATGCAGCTAAGTTTGCTTGCAAAAAATTACCACCAGAATTTGATATAGGAACACTTGTGAATAAAAAAAAATATTCTGAATTTTCATTTAATAATTTTAATTCAAAATAACAATTTAGAAAAACTTCGAAATGAGGAGTTATCAACAAAAAAATATGGGTGTCTATTTTTAAAACCCTTTATGTGACCGAAATCAAACAAATTGTTGGTAAAGTTCTAAGTATAAGCGTACGGTACCTGTAAGCAATGCATTTGTGGAAAGAATTTTTTCTGTAATGGAATCTGCTTGGAGAAATGATAGAAGTAGAATGAGAGTGGAACTCGTTAAAGCAGAGTTAGGCATTCGAATTAATTTCGATATGAGCTGCAAAGCTTTTCATTCTTATTTCTTTCAACATGACAAAAAAAAATTATTGCAAGCAGCAAAATCAGAAATAAAATGTAATTTTAAGAAATAAGAAGCATTACAATTACATATACTATATAAAATAATGTTAGACTGTTAGCTGTGTATAAGTATATATATATATATATATATATATAGGGGAAGGTGGTGCAAGATGGGGCCATGAGGTAAGACGGGAACGTCTGTTTATTCGTGGTTAACGCGCTTTCATCTAGGTCTTATTTGGGGAACTAAATGTCAACCTCAAAAGTGATGACGGGACGAGAGAACGTCCGAATCGCTGTCTTTGTTTGAAAGTAAGACAGTTTTCCCGTTTCGGCAATACTTCGTCTAATTTTACTCGTGATTCACTCGTTTTCAAAAAAGCAATTGAATCACAAATAATTGCATGCAGTCGTCCCAAGCAGATATATTATATATATATATATATATATAGGGGAAGGTGGTGCAAGATGGGGCCATGAGGTAAGACGGGAACGTCTGTTTATTCGTGGTTAACGCGCTTTCATCTAGGTCTTATTTGGGGAACTAAATGTCAACCTCAAAAGTGATGACGGGACGAGAGAACGTCCGAATCGCTGTCTTTGTTTGAAAGTAAGACAGTTTTCCCGTTTCGGCAATACTTCGTCTAATTTTACGCCCGCTACAAAGTTTCTACAAAATAAGTATTATTGCGAACTTTTACATTATCTTTTAAATGAAGATATTATGGTATTCGAAGTAACCTTTAAGATTGAAATTGTTTAGTTTTGAAATAAAGTTGACTCGTGTTTGCAGTCGGTATGAAAAGGGCACGTTGGGGCAAGATGGGGTACCCCGTCTTGCCCAAAGTTGGTCACGAATTCTGCCGCCGGCTAGAGGCACTGAAATATAGTGCAGCGAACTAGTTTTAAATTCGTTGTCATTGATAATTCTATATCATCTTTTCGAATATATAAAATAATAATTTTAAAAATTATATTTTTTTAGAAAATGAAATATTTTACTTTTAAATCATATCTAACTGTAATAAATTTATACAGTATATATACTGTATTACTTTATTATTTATGTTTTAACGTTTTATTTTATTTATGAAAACATTTTTAAAATTTAAATACTGTCTTAACGAGAAATAAAACGTGAGATAATAATCGAAATAAATTTTTTTTTTCACGAAATAAATATCGTCTGCTTACAAAATAGCGAAACTGAGCATGCGCGAAGTGACTATCGTCTGGTAAAGTAAATACGAGTAAGTTGAAACTTTTATATTTATTTATTCGGAAAATAATAATAAATGTAGCCGTTGTGATAATTAAAATGATGACAAATTAAAATGTGACAAATTAAAACGGTTAAACGACAGTTTAACCGTTTTAATTTGTCCTTCTTGTACATAAAAATAATATTCCCATCTTACCCCAAGGGTGGGGCAAGATGGCGCATTTACATATAATTTTAAAATATTAAATTTTCTTGTTTTTAAAAACATTTTTCAAAAATTAAATTTTATATTATATATTACCAAATGTCGTAGTTGCCGAGAATAAAAAAAATTATTGTTCTCATTAAACTGGTTGCCATCTTATGGCTTTTCAAACCTTAACGTCCTCGTCCTGCCCCACCTTCCCCTATATATATGACAATATAATTGTTTAATAAATAAAATATTGTGACCTTTTTTTTTCGTTTTTGGGGCAATCCTCCAGGCGAGTAGTTGGCAAATGTTGGCAATCCTAGTCTCTCACCACCCAGCCGCCCATTGTGGCCTGCCGAATACGCAATGAGCTTACTAAAAAAAAACACTTAATTATTTCCCACATGGCGGAAACAGTTAGGAAAACACAAAAAACAAAAACCCATAGATCAATTCCTGAAGTTTTTCGACCGTTCAAATTCTATCCAGGGTCTCGAGTTTGGTAGGCTGACACTTTAACCTATTCGGTCAGTCGGCCCGCTATTACTTCTGAAATACATAAAAAGGCCATCTTTGTGCCCATAAAAATTGTTATTGTTTGTACTCTCATTACTCGTAAATATTAAAACAAATCATTCAGAGGAAAAACTCGCGAGTGAGAATAGAATTTTTGTTTTCCGAAGGATTGAATTGGATTACATTGATGAGATGAGGTAACGCAACACATGGGTAGTCTGTCTTCTCGTGGGAAATTCCTATCGGAAACTGGTTCGTATTTGAGTTGTTAGACACGCGAAGAAAACCAGGAAAAGTCTCAGCTATCATTCACTTTGTGAATATCGGAACTGCCCACAATCTTCGTACAGAGTTAAGTTGGCAACGCGTCATTTAGGGCGGACAATGTCTGTCTTGTTCAACTGTAAAGTTGAATTAATTTACATTTTAAAAGTTAAATAATAGTTTGAAAGTGTTTCGAAGAAACTAGGAGTTTTTCTTTTTTTAATTCTTTTCGCCCTGTGAGCACTAAAAGGGCCTCTTTTTGCAAGCCCATTATGGGTTCGGCCAGGCCCTCAATGGGGTTGCCGGGTGGTGAGGGACGGGGCCCGACATATCCAAACATACCACCCCCGAAAAATTCCTGGGGATTTTTCGACCCGATCGGATTCGAGCCTGGGTCCCCCAGAGCAGTAGGCTGCTAGCTTGACCGCTCGGCCATCCGGCCGCTAAACTAGGAGTTCAAGCACCATAAAGAGTAAAAGAAGAAATGATAGTTTGGAAGTTTGTTTGGCGGTAAGTAATGTAAATTGTTTTTGTAAATGGTATTTTGACGTCTGACTCGAACTCTGATAGGGCAGTGAAAATTCGGTAAGATTTACCCTCCGAANGTATTTATATACCGTATAATACCATAAGTATACCGTATTTTTCTACAAAAGAACATGGTATTTATTCAACTTAAGCGCATGGTTATTCCACTCCATTATGTCTACGTAGATTTTTTTTTTGTTATTTTACTACGTATGAACAATGCAAACATCAGAACAAATTATTTATTGAGCGTGGTATGAATAAATTATCGATTTAAATAGCAAACATGTTAATGTTGAAGAGCGGACAATTTCTAAAAGAATCGCCATGAAAGCAAACTTGAAACTTTTAGTATTGATCTTAAAACTGTTTGTGAAGACAATGCACTAAAGGTGTTATGTTATCAGCGTTTGGTCAACAAGCAAACAATTCTACTGTACTGTAATTGAGTTTTATGTTAACCTATCCAATTTCGAAATTTCTCTCCGTTGCGTGTCGCCCCGGGTTGAAGTTTTGTCGATGCCTAACGAAAATTTTCCGTTTTTGAAAAAAATAATCTTGGTTATTGTATCGTCCGAAATTATTTTTTTTTATCTTGCACAAACAATATATATATATTAATAAATATAAGAAAACAAAGTGCCAAATTGCATCTCCTGACATGTACTGTACTCCTTCGTACTGTACCTCTAAGATAGTAACACAGCAGGCAGTACGATTTTATAAACAAGATACAGTCTTGTCGATATTTTATTATTATATGAATATTAAAAATAAATTCGTACATAATAATTACTAAATGAAATGAGAAAATACAAAAATTAATTTTAAAAAATTTAATCCTTGAAGAGGTGTACAAGTTGGCCCTCTAGCGACCATGGCCAGAAGATTATACTGTATTTGGAAAAGAGTTTTGATTTGAAGCTACTTTTTAAAACATTTACACAAAGAATTAAAAACGATTTAAAATATGTAAAAAGATATATTTAAAAAAATAGTGAAATTGAATATATATTTTATTTAAAAAAAATCAATATTGGGAGTAGATTACTTAAGCTGATTTCTCACTTCTGCCATCTATCGACAAGAAAATAAAATTCTACATTCTCATTTGTTTGTAGAAAATACTGTATTTTAATTTACATTGGAAAATTTTATAAAACAATTTTTTTTTTTTTTGTTTCGGATATCGAATATAAATTATTATTATTATTATTATTATTTATAAAATCAAAAAATTGTAAATTAATTTCTAAAAAATTTTTAGCGGGTGATAATTCTTAAAACGTACAGTACGAGGGACCCGGGTTTCAGAGCTTCTCTCTGGTTATGCTACACAAGATATTATTAAGAGTATGTCTAATAGACTTGATAGACGACTAATATATTGAAGTATTGGTTAAAGTCTAATATATTGAATTTGTGTTCTGTATGCAACTGTGGAAGAAAGAAAAAAAAAATGATAAACTCAGGAAAATCAGGATACAATTTACTTACAAGCCAGAAAAACACAATACAACGATAAATATATATATATAAGGAGAGTCCATTAAGTTTAGTAAAAGGTTCACATTTTTCTCCTATTGTAGTATACAAATTTTTCTAATATTACACTACAAATAATTTGTTATGGGGGGTAAAAAACTTTATTTGTATCACATATTTTTCAATTATATGGATCAACTTCATCTTTGTCAGATACTTTCTTTATCTACAGATTTTGCCAATGAGATTTATCATTATCTTTTTCTCTCCGACAAGTCTCATCTAATTCGTTTCTAAGAATAACATTCATTTGCATATTCGACATCTTTCCTAATTTACTTTCGGGATTCTCGTTAATACTTTATTCGATATTCATCTCGTTTATCGTTTCTTTATTTAGATTAAATTTTTTTATCTTGAATATTTCTCTGTAGTTTTCATTATTATTATTACTTTAGCGATTGTTCCCGATGTTCTCGTCTCACTAAATCATTTCATTGTAGTCCCTAATAAGCACAGTTTAGACGTAAAATTGAACAAAATTCTGTACGAAATAAATGAAATTTTTACTATTTTTAATATACAATTAAAGAAAGAATGCAAGCTAAATTAATATCGATGGTTCAAAAGTGTTTTGTTTAGTATTTTCTAGGCAAACTTGTGAATACGAATCGTACACTTTAACGTTTTTTTTTCCTTTACAAAATTGATAAAGTTTGTATTATTTACAAATTTATAAGTACTGTAGTAAAGTATTTAAATAAGATAGTAGCTTAGTCTTTCTATTTCTATTGGACCGTCCTATATTTATACGTCAATGAATATCCTTCATCTTAATCATTTAATTTGCACATACAAATCTTACTTGTACAGTATATTTTCTTCAGTTTTTAGGTAATAGCAACTAGATTATTATATCAATACATTTATGTTTGTATAAAATTAATAGCAAGTCAGTAGATTCGGTTCCTATAATCCAGATCTCAGTCCTCCCTCTTCCTTTTCTTATGAAGTTTCTTTATTGTTTATTTTCCATTATATTTGGTATTCGACTCTATCCAATACAAAAGAAGATTTTAACATTATTTATGATCTCCCTTTTCTATAATTTTTTTTGAAAAATTACTATTATATATTTGTTCCACATTGTCTTTAATGCTTTCTGATAGATTAGTAGATTTATTATCACATTTTTGCCTTGTGTTTAATCAATAAATGTGCGATTTGTCGACAAATTTTTATTTAATTATAACATATACGTATTAATTTCTATGGTAAATCTATAATAATTGTTGAAACTTTCCAAATCTATCCAACGTTAATATAGAATTTTTTTTTATTTCAACACAAAGGTCTTGAACCACTCTACCTGCTTATTTTCCATGATAAATATTGATAAATCTTGACACAAGATTACTGTAACTACAAAGCTCTTGTTTTTTTGCTATTATATTTACCTTACAAAGACTTTTCCCCGATGATAGATTTGTTTCTGAGAATTCCTATACTTTAGATATTCCAGTATTGCATACTCCGAGAGCAAGTTATAAATATTTTATATTTAATATAACGGAAAAATTGATGTGTTTCGAGGAAACTAATCTCGTCCGTAGTAGTATGGATAAAAACCACATGGTACTGCAGATTAGAGTTGCAAGTCCTTGTAATTCATTAATTAGTTTTAATGTAGAATATATCCTGAAGAATGCAAGTAATATAATTAACCGATAACTATATATTCTACAATAATTTGCCATTAATACCTTTTGTTGTCATTTAATTAATTGTCTTCATTCGATTTTCGTTTATTCCTTGTTTATTCCTTTCTAATCTAATTTTTTTTGTTTTAATATTGAAAAATAAATACTGCTTGATAACAGAATAAATTACATCTTTATTTAAAGATAAATGAATGACTATAGAGCTTATATAAAATAAATAAACTCTTATTCTCTTCTTACCTGTTCTATAAAGTAGACCATTCATCAGCTCACTTTTTACCTGTGTTTAAATTCAATTTTGAACTTCGCGCGTTAATAAATTTACATAAATTTGAATTTTAAATATTCGAAATGTTGGTATATTTTTCTAAATTTTAAAGCTTTTAAACATTTTGAGATGTGAAAATTTACACGAAATATCGAGTATTTTTTCCATAATAGTTCTATACAAATCGAGAATCTAGTAATTAAAATCCTCGAGATGATACTTACGTTCTTTTAATTTAATTAATTAAATAGACGTCGAGGATTTAAAAAAATAGACTTAATTGTTGTTATTTTACGAATACGAGTCCGAATGAGGCGATAACCTATGCCATTACGTGAGATTTCACGAGCAAACAAGAGGGAAAACACGTACTACAGTACAGGCCTCTCTCCCTCCCTCGTCTATCGATCCCGAGCCATGCGGTCAGTTCTCACGCGGCGGAGTCCGGATAAACAGACAATTACAATATCGGACCAAGCACAAATGGCAAGGAGACAATCGAGCACACGTAAATTCCTTTTTATTGGTGGTTCTATTAGACACAGAGTAGATAAGAACGGATACAACATTCAACGTCGTTAACAAATAGGATCCATTCCAGTGGTTCTATCTTCGGACAAACAAACATCGATGCGCTAAAAACGATAGATATGGCATTTTTGGCAGTAGTAACTATTTCTCTGGTTCCTAACGTTATACAAAAATATATGCGGAAAGTGGGTGGGCGTTTCTATCTTCATCTCTCCTCCTCATCGCCCAAATGATCGAAGAATAAACCGAGTCTCCGGGCAAATGATTCGTACCTGATATGTTTAACCGTCTCTGGGTTAAAGTTTTCTTTTGGTCTTTTACAAATAACTTTATAAAATCTCTTTAAATTATAACGAGAATAATTTAAGATTCCAACAACAACAACAACTTGGCGTCGGACTTGATGGAGCGCCTTTGGTTCTTCTCATTATCTCTCCCTACTTTTAATAATTACATACCAGACGGGATTCGAAACCCTCTAACTCCCTACCGACGGAAGTTCGGGGTCGATATATAAAAAAGATAAAGATCGTCTTCTCCTCTTCTCTATATTTTCTAAAAAGTAATAAAGACTCTCGAGATCCGCGCTTCCTCTGATTATCACCCTACCGATATCGACTTTTAAGGCCTCACCTATAAATATCTAATTATCTAATTATATATATAATATTCACATATATATATATATACATTAACACATACGTACATTTATACAGATTACGTGTGTGTATATAGCACGGCTCTACAAAATCAACTGGAACATCAACTTTGAACATTCAACACGTTCTAGGGGCACGCGGGGCCCATATATCTTTAATATGTTAAATATTCGTGTAACGATACGATAGTTTGGTGTTCGATTCTTCGGGATAAAACGTTGGGATGGGCCCGAAGCCGCGTATCACTACTTTATTGCTAAGAAGGGGCGCCTTCAGCGGGATACACCGAGCTAATTTTGGATAGACCTTTAAAAACAGAAAACAAACGAAAACACGCCGATTAAAAGTGTTACTACGGTGTCCCTGACGACGATTTTCCCCGTGATTACTACATTATTTAAATTTTTTAACATCCATCCGACAAAATAATGTTAGAAAACAATTTCTATACAGATTGTCCCGTTATTATTTTTTTTATGAAAAGAAGCACCCAAAATATAATGTATTCTTCGCGCTCTTCCAACGTGTTCGGCTATTATTACGGTTTAAAGAGTGCGATTTCTTCTCGTAAGGTGACTAACGTGGATTAATCTCGCTTTCGGGTGTTCCCTTCCTGAAGATGATTACCGGAAGGGATGCAACTCTTCTTCTTCGCCCCTTCCCCCGAAAACGAGTTTGTTTTTCTTTTATCGAAGCGGGCTACGAGACGGAAAGGGCACTCGATGGGTCGTCGAACTACCTCTAAAGGCTAAAACTAGATGATACGTTTCACAAATTGGTAGTGAATTCGGCCTTGACAGGTCCGTTCCGGAAGTCTCCGTTTACCGCGGGTGATTCCATCTCTACCTCTTCCCCGCTTAAGTTGAGAGCGGGATTGACCCGGCCGTTCATCTCCGATTGATACTTGCGAACGGCCGCTGCGTTAAGAACCGTCATCTCTCCCTCTTGAGGCTCCTGTACCTTCTCTACGTCGTCGGGAATATTAACAATGCAGTGGAAAATGTCGAACTTGGCATCCAATCTTCCGGCCTCGAACAACCATTTAAATAACTTTGATACGGACAGTAGCGTGCAGAAACTAACTATCATGGAAAGCGTCCGAAAAGGGAATAACTGACCGTTCACTTCCGAGTAGAAAGGATAACGAATGATGGCAGGGAGGCCGATGATATCTTCTCCTCCCAGCCCTCTCATCAATAAGCCCACTATATAGGCGGCTAGTGAGCCGTAAGTATTACAGTATTTTTTTAAGTAGACGGTGCACACCAGCTGAGGGAAAAGGATAACGTAGACCAAATCTGAAGACAGATACCATAGGCCGTAGATGGACTTGACGGTCAAGGCCATGGCCGTGGCCAACACCCCGACGAACAAGATGGCCACTCTCATCACCCAGATAACTTCTCTTTCGGAGGCCTGCAAAGAAACTCTCGTTAATCCGCTGATATTATTGAAACTTTTTTTTTATTTTATTGAACGAAAGGCGCGATCCGGTTCTTTAGTAAATTTGCATCTTTTTCTTTGTTTTGTTGAATAGAGAATAAGATTCTAGTACTTTTTTAAATCGAATTTTTAACACGATCGATTGGGAAAGGATATAATTCTTTTCAAATTTTAGGAGAGATAATGGGAAAATTCTCTGTATACTTTATTATTCGCACGTTAACGTAAGGAAAATATTAAAGTGAAAGGAAGGAGGAAAGCAATTTCTGTACTCCTTCTACAAATGAAAAAAATGATTTACAGTATAAGAATTTAATAAGCAGTATTTTTATAATAAACACCGTGTGAGGAACCGCATCTCCTATTATTCGCTTAGAAATTTCCTTATTCATTATATGTTTCGTACAAAACAATATTTGTAATAGCCAAGAAAACAATAACGTAATCCAAAATTCTATGTAGTAAACTATATCTGTCTGTATTCGTTACGATTACATTATTCTAAACTATAACCATAATTCTTTGGGTCGTAACCTTATGTACAAAGAGCATAGGTGAAAAGTTTTATATATGGATAATGTATTAAAAAACTATGCTACAAGAATTAATATTCCGTTTCCATAATGAAATTCAGAGAAAATCTTATCAAATTTTCATCCCTCCTTCCTTCCAAACATAACTTACCGAACGCGACTTGTTGTAGTGTAAGCGAAATATATTGCTTGCCCATTGGAAGGGTCCGTTTTTCTCTCCCCGAATAAAGAGGATTGAAATGAACCATCGATTGGGATCTACTTAAAATTTTGAGCTAACCCTCTAAAGGAAGTCCTCTCGTTTCCACGGAAACGGAATGAGTTTCTGTAGGCCTACTTTCGGAAGTGTCAAAATTTCTTTCGCGATTGACAGACATTCCTTGTTGTCAGCTTTCTTCTTTGGAAAAGAATAAGCTGCGAGAGCTGCTTGATGGACGAAGCAGGTAAAAAATTTTATTCTAACTTCCTGGCAAGACGAAACACCGGATCGCCCGTTTCTGTAAAGAGAGACACAAGTTTTGATGAAGATAAAATGAAGCCCGAGTCATACTCACGTTTTGTCTAAATATTAGTTTGTATATGTTTCTAGCAAACATGGAACTAGCGCTTAGAATAGAGGAATCGGAAGAGGACATGACTGCGGCTGAAACGGCTCCGAGACCGATAAAAGATACAAATGCGGGGGTTAAGTATTGAAGAACCATGGGTAAGACCAGGGGTGTCTCTTCCTCCGTTAGTGGTAAACGACCGCGATACGCAGTCTCGTTCCAAGCTGTAAGAGAAGAAGAGAAAAACAGAAAAACTAAGCATCAAAGATACTAACGTATTATATAAATAACATCGAAGTGTTACCCGCAGCTTTGGCCACAGCTCCGATGATCATAGGAGGAACAGCCATGATGATGCAACCCAAAGCGGCAACGTACGATAAAATCTGGGCTCTGAAGGCACTCTTCGAAGACAAAACTCTCTGGAAGTATACCTGTAAACAAAATGGACATTCAAAACAAAATGCCTCAATAGAAATGTTGCATATATTTTTAAACAATTTAGAAGAAACAGAAGGTTATCGTTCTGTTATTATTAATATATAGGTTTTTGACCTCGTCCCTGCTTGTTCTATAGTTAAATTCGAGTCCTAAAATAGTTATTTTTTTTGTGGTTTTCGTGACGGAGTTGAGAATTCGACAGCTGTCGAGGTAATTGGCTCGGAAGAATAACTAATGAGTTGGAACAACAATGAATCGAGGACACGTTTTATTGGTCGAATGTCGTCATCGCACCTGCTTCTTCTCAGGACGCTACTTTCCATGGATCAAAATTCGAATGCTAATGGCAGGTCCTTTCTATTTGTTGAGTAAATATCCTCTCGTCTTTCTCGAAAGCTTTCTAAAATAATCTTTTTTCAATTTTATCCATGTTAACATTTGCTAATAAAATGCACTAAAAGGTTTTCTACGTCTCTATGGCTTATTATTATACGGAATTGAAAACGATATTGATATAACAAGATATCATTTTTCGTAACTAAAACAGTATTATGATATAATTTGCTCTTTTAGAATGATAAAACCGAATCAATTTTTCATTAGAATTGTTTGGATTTCTGAGGAAAAGATCTGGAAAAATGGACATAGATGATATCACCTGCCATGGTATCCCTCCAAGAATAAGAAGCAATCCATAGTCTATATATTGGCCAGCGAAAGAAGGCTCTACTTCTCCTATCCAGTTATTATCTTCCAAGGAAAGACTTCCCACTGCCGAACTAGTCAAGCTGAACGGGATACACAACCACTGAAAACATAAACAATAATTAGATCTACAGTTCTATGCAGGAAAAGAAAAAAAATTACTCTTCTTATATAAAAAGAATGAAAGTGTTTGATTTGTAATCTCAGTACACTCTTGGTATTGTAAGTCGCGACTCTTTTAATATGATGTAAAGAAGAGCAAAGAGCAGAGCGCCGATCACATTTCCACTTACCAGACCGATGAAAATACAGAAGAGTTGTATGACATCAGTATAAGCCACCGAATATAGACCCCCAAACAAGGTGTAGAAAAGCGCGATGCAAGCGGAGACGATGATGGAGGTGTTATTATCCAAGTCGATGATAACACTGACTGTTGCTCCTGAGAAGTAAAAAAGAAATTTAATAAATTTTTTTTTAATAAATAGAAAAAAAAGAAAATTAAAAAGACCTACCTAATGCAGCCAATATGGCCGCCGACCAAAACACTTCACCGCAGAGGGCGGGAATGAAGAGGAGTCCACCCATTCTTCCTCCGAACAGGTCTTGGAACGGGTCCAGCATGGTGACGTAACCTTGTTCTCTCATCTTGTTGGCGAAGAAAAGACCACCTACAGCAACAATCGATGCGACTTGAAAAATTAACTTTGCTTTGAATACTAAGCGTGTTGTAATTCCATCGAGTTAGCCTCGGTTGGATCTACCATCGATTTTAAATAGCAGAAACGAGAGCCCACAACACGATTAACAAGTTACCATGGTTAATTTTAAATGGCTTCACTAAAGTACCAAATGGTACGATAGTTCGGATGGCTCTACTCTCATTACGAGCATGGGTAATCTTCATGGTCATATAGATTGCACGAAGGGTAACGACGTAAGTTTTAGTTACTACTAACAATTGATATTATTACACTTACCGATAACCAAACTCATGGCATATCCAAAGGGAGCTTGACACCAAACTAATCCGCTGTTGTAGATGACCTCGGCAGTTCCGTTGATGTACCCACCTCCTACCCAGGTAGCTGCAACAGAAGGAAAAGATTGTCAGAGGAAACGGTGACTCGGAAACAATCGTCACTTGTACTGTACAGTACCATCGATATGCTAATCACTTCATTTGAATTTATCGATTGTGATTCTTTACTTGAGCAGGACCATCTCTCGTCTCTTTCTATCCTCGCATTTCTTACTAACAAAAATCTTCATCACGAAGAAAGAGTCAAAAAGCAATAAAGTCGGAAACGAGATTTTTTTTTTTTTGTTTTAGTTGGAAGAGAGTTACGCGATTTTCTCAAAGTATATACCAAAAATCGATTTACGCAAGATGCTAAGGAAGGCGTGGCGTAAAACAACTTACCTGTCATGGTAAAAATTCCGACGAACATTCCTATATTCCTCCCGGCTAGCATCACTTCCTCGCTCTCTAGATCATCGGCTCCCGTTTTCTTCTTCCTTCCTGCCCAGATGCCCACCAGTAGAATCAAGACATAGAAAAATATGACAGACACCACGCCGGGGATGTTGACTGTCATGGTGTGTATCTCTGTACTGCTCTGGTAAGTACTGACACCTGGAGAGTAAGAACAACGCGTCAATGCTTTGCCTTCCAATTTCTCCTTTACTTCTACATCTAACTATTCTTTATCACGTTTTTTACCGATTTTTTTCTCATCGATCGATCTCTCGTGTTTAAAAATTAAATATATTGCCGACGACTCTATTTCGTCACGTGATGATATTCGTTAAATGGCATCGCAGCCGCAGGGTACCTTTCTCCTCTACAATGACTAATACCAAGAAAATTTCGGAACCCATAATCAAAAGTTATCCACGTTTATCCGAATTGCAACACGTGATCGAAGCTAATTATTTTGACCAATCTAAACACGGTGCACCCAAACGGGATGAAGTAGAAGCCACTTTGGGGGCTTCCACCGAACGTGAAATAGCCTAATCAGGCGAGGGTCGAGGACAAATTGTCCATGAACGGGTAGTTATCTAGCAGGGGTGGACGACTTCTCATTTGCATGACAAGGGAGGAGCTTATGTTAAGCCGGCTCGTTATACACGTTTTCCAGAGAGATAATCAATGCAGATAAAGGATTCGAATGCAAATTCCGATCTTCCGCATTATCCTCTTGTTAAAATTCCTACCTCTTATTTAAAGAATTGATTATCGAGTGAGGAGTGCGGCAGTACGAATGAGTAGAAGGGATAATAGAGTCGTTTCATTATCTGTGCTGTTTGCCCAGTCCTGATGGCCTATAAAAAGAAGTGGTAACTCTATCGAGTAAGCAGAAGGTATTTTGGTGTGTCCCTTGCTCTTGTGTTAAAGATGACAACGCATCTAAATATAAAAAAAAAGAACGTTTCGAATCTAACGGAAGTGGACTTCTTTCTTTGAGAACATTCAAAAGAAAGAAAAAGGATGCAATTCTTCAGTTTTCTCGTTGAAATTTATCGATTCTTGCGCAGTGGTCTCTGAATAAATGTTTATTTTACTAAACAAAGTCTTATTTACGGTTCATTCCTCCGGATTTTCGACGTCCCGAAGGATGAATCTCCACGCGACATCCGAATAAAAATGCAAATGCAAGAAATTGATGGAGATTTTTTTCCTTCTCACAGTTTTTCCTTCAATTACTAAGATATATTTCGTTCATTGTTATTAAGAAGTAGTTTCGTTAAGTGTGTTTATAGAATGAATAAAAGAGAACTTTGTCGTTGTGAAAGTAGTTCATGAAATAATCATCCAGTTGAATTTTTTAAAGAACATAAATGATAATCCTACTCATAGATATAACGACATAGAAGAAATGTACTGTACTTGGCTGTTAACAGACACAAAACTTTTTTTTTCTTTTATCAATCAATAGGTTTTTGTTATCACAACGTTCTATTTCTTAATGGAAGTATTTAGATTAATTTTAGTATTATTTTCGTTATCTGTTAGTGAATACCTTGAATGGTTATTAGCTTCAATAAATGGCACTCTAAATTTTGTGTTTAAACCAAAGAAACAATGAGCACATAATAGTTGGGTCTAGCTAAGAAAATAAAATGTATTTAAAGATTTTTCAATTTAAAATCTTAAACGTTTATTTTAAATTTTATTATACTGTATTGCTGTTTTATATTAGAACGTAGAGCGTTTATTTCTGCATCCAAGCACAAAGAATCAAATTCATGCGAAGAATCAAGCTACTACTTTGCTGTACTGTACATTGTTAAATCATACCATAAATTGTAAAGTATAGATTCAGTTTCGATTTATGATCTATTTTTCTCTTTAAATATACACTAGAATCATTTAAACATTAGTTAACTAAGTAAAAATTTATAAATCTTATATGTTTAAATCGTCATTAGATATTTTATTATTATCTACTGAGCATTAAGAGGAGATACGCAAGAGAATGCTTTTCTTAATCATTCATTCTAGCACACCAGAATAATTCAGATTGACAGGAGGTGTTCTGTACCGTATCATAAAATTAGAAGGCAATTTTCCATGACACGACTGCCTATGTCGAGCTTTTTTTCCTCTTATAATTAATATAGTTAGCGTCAATTTAATCAGAGCGATATCGATTGACCAGAAAGAAAAATTATCCAACGTCAAAATCATGCTTAGAATTGTATAGCGGTAGAAAAAGGCTTTAAAAAAAAAAATAATATAAAATCTTCATCCAGTCGAAGCAATTGGAAAGAGTGCAGACGTAATTGTCATTCTATATGTACTGTACTGTACTTTTCGGCAATTGAACAAATGTGAATCATCGATAGTTGCTATCCATGAGGGAACCATTCTTCGAATGGTTTCTAGACTTCTATCGTTCCTTAATATCGCAATCTTTTTTAAGAATAGTTTGATGGGAAATCTTATTACATGTATTTGTCATCTTCTTTCAACTCTAATAGAAACGTAACTTAAACCATACCCCACACATTTACCTCAAATCGAATTTTCTGCCCATTTTAGTCACCAAATCTAGAGAAATGTGGGAAACATGGTAATGAATCCCATTCATTTTTCTTCTAATTATAGTCCTGGATTGTTTCCCACTCCTTCCCATCTTTACAACCGTTGAGAGGAGAAACACCGGATGACTCCATCTGATAAGATATTGTGAAAGTCCGTGACTGGGTCCCGATAAACCCAGACCGCATCTAGCCTTGTTCCAGGTAGTCCCAAGGGTCGTGTCCTCTTGTCGGGACTGACTACCGAACAGAAATCTCATTATCGGGAGCTGCACTCCGGGGAGCATCCGTAGGAAGATTTCGAACAAAAACTATTAATTACAGAAGAGCGTCTGTCATTATATCCGGGATTAACTCTTCAAGTAAACGTCTTTCTTCGCTTTCCATTTTGGTTAAAGCATCATCATCATCATCATCATCATCATCATCATCATCATCATCATCATCATTTGTATCGCATGAATTACTATATGAAAATTACACTTTAAAATTCAGTCGACTGTCTGTTCAATTGAGAAATTTTGTTAATTATAGCATAATGAAATGGAATTAGTAAACTAATTATTTATTTATTATTAAAAATTCCCATTGGAAGATAATTAAAATATTTATATCTTAAGATGTTTATGTTAGATGACATTCTGCCATCACCAAATTTATTTATAAAATATAAATTATACTCTAATAATATACTTTTATTCCTAAATATTTTATGCAAGATGGACATTTGTCTCGAATTTCAAACTATAAAATAAAATTTTGGTTTATAATATATTTTTTTTAATATAAAAGAATAAATTTGATTCCATTGTTAAAATGTTTTAAAAAAAATACGTTTTCCTCGTTGAAAATTTTCCAGGTAAAACAAAAAGACAACACCCTGTGACGTAGAAAGCACCTGTTCCTGTCACACGTTCTGTCTTTCAGAAAGATGGATCCTTCTTTTGCTCGATAATTATAAATATATTTCAGCTATTTTCGTCATTTCACAACTTATTCCAGGATATTAAAAAGTATACGTTAAAGCACTTAATTCGAAAATATTCTATTAGTTTTTAATATTAAAAAAATATATATATATATGTAGAATTAGAAGTTTTATACTTGTAATATTTAAATAGAAGATACGGTTAGTTGAATATCGTGGAAAGATTTTGTTGCTGATAAATCTAAAAATTGGAAAGATGTTTTCTTTATTCTTTCTTGTACTATTCGCTAGACGTGAAGTTGGAGTTGTTTAGAAGGCTTAAATAAGCTATGTAGTTGTCGAAAGTGTATTTTGACAGAAGAGAGGGGAACAGGATTTGGCGGGAGATGTGACAAGCGACTATTTCATTAATCGCTTCATTGAAATTCTGCAGGAATCGCGGCAGATGTAGAAAGTGGCGAGCCTACTTTAAGCCCCTAATTCGATTACCTTCGATCACGTATACACCCAAAAGGGCAGTAAATTCTCTTTTTCCAATCACAACATGATGTAGAGGTGGATTCATTAATGTTTTTACGAAAATTACTCTAAAATATGTAAATCTACGTAAAGTGAAAATTGTAGTAGTTTTGTAGGATAAATTTGGTAGAGGTTTTAAGATGCCAGCGATATATTGAATATGTCTATCAAGCGGAGATTGGATAACGTACGTGTTTTGGCTCCTGTAAATGTGTCTTTGCCTCGTTACAGTTGATAGAGCGGAGAAGCCACAACAAAGGGGCAGGTTGGCGCAATAGTCGCGTGTGTATCGGTCAATATTTGCAGGATGTTAAAAATTCATGACTCCCGAAGCATGGTAGGAGATGGAATGGTGGGAAATCAAATTAGTGTCCCTCTCCCTAACGATGCTGTGTTTGTATTGGGCTAAGTGTCTGCCATCGACCAGTTTTGCTTAAGGTTTTGCCCCTCATGTCCCCTGCCAATTGTTATTCCGACCGCGTCTGATTTCTCTCAGGAACATGGCTTTTTATTTGAAACATATTCTCTTCCTCCTCTCTCTTCCTGCTCTTCCTCTGCCACCAATTATTCTTCGCCCTCGTTCTAACCCAAAAAGAAAAGAGGAAAAAAAATTCATCCTAGTTTACTTAAAGTATCGTTCTCCCAAGGTAAAAAGTGGAACCATTTTTAATCATTCTTAAAATATTATACCATAGAAATATCCCTCATATTGTCTATCAAATGATAGATATACCCATATAAAAACTAAATTTATACTGAGTTCTATCAATGAATAAATTTTCTATATTTAGAGAATAAAGATTGCATCTTATAAATTTATATTGTTGTCAAAAATAGTAAATTTATCTATGATTTGTGGAGTTAACATTATCGTTTTTTTCCATTTTCTTATTGCTTATTTTTTAATATTATTCTTTATTGATATTGCACTATATTTAAAAAGGTATATTCGAACAGATGAGGGATTATCTTTTATCTCGTCCACTCATATCTGACGTAATCACGTCATTACGTCATTACCAGCGGCCTGTCATCAGAAGGATCCATCCTAATACATGATAACATCCAGAGCGTGAGCGGGATAATAAGGAATGTTTATTATCTAGATAGGGATGCATCTCGGTTGATCCCGTTTTCGGATC